GCTCCGCGGGAGAAAGATGAGGCTTTCTACTCCCGTAAGGATTTACACCCTCGGAAACCCTGTACAAGGGTCGCTATGGGTCGGAACCGACTCGAAGGCACTTAACAACAACAACAAAATGTCTGAATAACAAATGGACAGAGTCCAGAGTCCTGGTGTGGCACTGTGGGTTAATGCACCAGACTGCAAAGCCTTTTGAACTGCAAGGTCGTTGGTTCAAGCTCACCAGTCGCTCCTCGGAAACCCTATACAGGTTCGCTGTGAGTCGGAACTAACTCGATGGCACTTAACAACAACAACAAATGTCTGAGTCCAAGTTCAACAACATTCAACAAATACTTGTTGAGTACCTTCTCTGTACCTGGCCCTATTCTAAACACTGGAGATTCCGCAATGAACAAAGCCACATCCTTTCCAACATGAAGCTTACATTCTAGTAGAGAAGACAGTCAATAAACACGTAAATATATACCATAGTGGCAGGTGGTGATCAGAGCTACTTAGAAAACGAATGCATGAAAGGTAGATAGTGATTAGGTGTGTGGGGGTGGGGTGGGAAGAGAGGTGATCTGTTAGGTAGAATAATCAGGGAAGGCTTCTATGAAGATGTGACATTTGTACAAAAAGTTAAGTGAAGCGAGACAGCAACTCAAGTAGATACATGGGGACAAAGCTTTTCAAGCAGAGGGCACAGCAAGTGCAAAGTTTCCAAGGCTGGAGCAAGTTCGGTGCTAGTTCTGCTACAACCACTCTGGGTCCATGTTCTCCAATTGCTAAAATGTCATTGACTCTTTCTTTCAAACCATATTTGTTGTTGGTATGTGCCGTGGAGTCGGTTCCAACTCGCAGCGACCCTGTACAGGGTTTCCGAGGCTGTAAATCTTTATGGGAGCAGAAAGCCTCATCTTTCTCCCGTAGAATAGTTGGTAGTTTCGAAGTGCTGACCTTGTGGTTCGCAGCCCGATTTGTAACCACTATGGTACCAGAGATTGTCATTGAGGGCAGAACTTACAGAATAGTATGGAAGTCAGATGTGTGATTGCAATGTAGTGTAGGGTTTGGTGTTTGTACTGGGGACCCTGGGGACCCAAATGACTGAAAGTCTGGTTTTTAGGGGAGCATCTTCAAGGAGGAGATCATGTGTGGACTGAGATACAAACTAAAAGGGGTAGACATGGAGAGGGTATGCTGGGCAGCTGTCAGGAGGTGGGGTGGAGTACTTATAGAAGGTGTGGTGGAAGGTGAGGGCAGAGCTGTAGGTGGAGGTCAGATCATGGAGGTCACAGGTTGCAGGAAGGACTTTGAACTTGAACATATAAGTAAGCCATTAGCAACCAATGAAGGGTACATCATGGAAGATGACTTTGAGTACTTAGTGACTGGAGGCAGCTAGGAGACCACTGCCAAGAGTCCAGGCCAAAGAGAATGGAACCTAATCAAGTTGGTTTGGAAGCAATGGAAATCTGAGAATAAGTTTGAGACCAGTTTAGAAGGTGAGTTCAACTGGAATGTGTTCCTATACTCAATCACTCCTCCATGAGGGTGTGTCAGCCAATGCCTGCCCAAGCACTTAACAATCTCTGTACTTGGGTACTGAGGTCCAGGGAAGGGAAGGATAGAGTGAAGAAGGAACAGGCAGACTGGGGCTGGAAGGAGCTAGATCCAGAGAAAATCAGATGTTCACAGCCTCCTTCCCACTCACATTCTCTACTCTTGGTATTTGGGGGTCAGTTTCACTGGTTTGCAGATAAAACCTGACAGTCTGGCAGCAGGAAGGAGAGAGGGAAGAACTTGTGCCAGCCTTTTACCTACTTTGCTAACACCAGTCTCATCTCCTTAAAAGGTTTGGCCTTGAAGGAGGAGAAACATAAATACTCAAGTGAGGATTGGAGATTATCTGTGGGTTCAATTATTCATGTCGCAATAATAACTAACACTTGGAAAGGGCTTCCCTCCTTAACAGCAGTGATTGAAAGATGGCTATAATTGTACTTCCTGAGCCCATCCTTCCAAAAATGATCAAAGGAATGTAAAAGATGTCCAAGGGGAATTGAGGTTATTTTGCCCTCCTTATCCCTCCCCTCCCTTGTCCTGTCCTTCTCTGGCTCTCTCTTGGCTTAATCTCTTCCCTCTTCTACTATCCCTCCTTCTTGCCATCTTCTTTCCATTTTATTGCTCCCTTCCTTCCCATCTAGCCTGTTTTCTTCTCCTTTCCCACTCCATTGCCTCCAAGAGCAGGGACTGGGAACTGGGCAGAAGTAGAGCTGAGATCCAGAAAAGGAGCCAAGAGGCCCACTCCCTGAAAGGGCTGAGAAGTGATTCCTCTCAGACACACTTTTCTCTCTGCAATAGGTGTGTTCCTGAAAAAGGCTTGATTCAACTAAATTCTAATTTAAATTCCTTGTAGTTGAGCCCTTAGGTGGTTTTGTTGTTGTTGTTGTTTTGAAAGTGGAGACTCAAGCCCAATTTGTCTTCCTGTCAAATCTGAACTTCACAATAACTGTGGTGTTGGGTTTTTGGTTGTTATTATTTTTTTTTTTTACTTTCTTAAAGCAAGTTATACCAGTAATCATTTTCTTGGGGCTCTCAAAAAAAGAATTTTATGAGGAGCTGTGCTAAACTAGAGACCTTAATCTTCTTGCCTATATCCCCAGCCCCAGCACAGAGCCAGGAATGAATGAAGAAGAGAGTGAAATTTGTGAGAAAAAGACAAAATAAGAACTCTCTTTTCACCAGGAAGGTAAAATATTTGATGGAACAGCTGAGAGGGATCATGGGGATGCCACTCCTAAAAATCTTCAAGTCCAGAAATGGTTTTCAGTTGCCTGATACCTGGATGCCAGCCCCCGGTACCTCTCAATGCTCTTCCTCAGGTCTGTAGTGCTAAGACTCCAGGGGCAAAACCACTAGGAAAAACCTTGATTCAGCTATTCATTAGGAAACTATCTTAGCAGATCAGAACACAAGGGCAGGAGACTTGAGGTTCCAACAATAGAGGCACTTTCCAGCCAGCCCCCACAAAAGACCTAAACTCAGGCCTAAATATAGCTAGCAACAAACGTTCTGAGGCTTGGAGACCTTAATTTTGCTGAATGTGTATTTGTTTTCTTCACACACGGCCTATTTTTAATCAATTGCCAGCTCCTCCAGTCCATTTCCTGGAAAGGAGGCCAAGAAAGAAAGAAAGGGTGGTGGGGGGGTGGGGGGAAGTGGGAACAAAAACACCAGACAGTCATTTGTACAGTGCTATGGAAACAGAGTTTCTACTGTCCCCTTGAACCCATAGACCTTCACTGACGTCAGGGGTGGTGAAGTTTTAATACCAAACATAGATTATTCCATTTAGCCTTGTGCAGGAAGATGGCTTTCTCTAGGACACAGGTCCTCAGCAGCTGCTGTTCAGAGTTTGTCAGGCTTTCATCTACTCACTCATCCTTGGAGAGGTCAAGTCAATATCACTGCAATTCAGTGTACAATCCCAAGAAACTGAACGGAAATGGGGTGGCTTGCCAAGTGCTTCAATTGGTAGGAAGTGTAAGAAGATAGCTTACCTTGATTCTTAGACAAACTTTTATTGCATTCCTACTATATACCTCATTTGACAACTTCTAATTTTCTCAGATTCATAGTTAGTATATTCCACGTTCTGATTATTAATGGATGTTTACAGCTGCTTCTCCTCAATTTGAGTTGTGCCCTATCAGCAAATAAAGCTCCCCAAAACTTTAGTCCATTTGCATCATCTTGGTGAAGCACTGGAGGCACTCTCATCTATGCCAAGAAATTTGCAAGACTGTTAACCCGGCCAACTGATTGGAAGGCATCTATATCTGTGCCCATTCCAAAGAGAGATGACCCAACAGAATGTGGAAATCATCAGACAATATCATTAATATCACATGCAAGTTAAATTTTGCTAAAGATAATTTAAAAATGGCTGCAAGCATACAATGATAGGTTCAAGCTAGATTCAAAAGAGGTCATGGAACGAGGGATATCATTGCTGAAGTCAGATGGATCTTGGCTAAAAGCAAAGAATACCACAAAGATGTTTACTTGCGCTTCATTGACTAAGCAAAGGTTTCTCACTGTGTGGATCATGACAAGCTATGGACAACATTGCAAAGTATAAGTACTCTGGAACACTTAACTGTGCTCATGGGGAATCTGTACCTGGACCAAGAAGCAGTTGTTCAAACAGAACATGGGAGCACTGAATGATTTCAAATGAAAAAAAGGTGTGCAACAAGGTTTTATTCTTTCACCATACTTATTCAACCTGTATGCTGAGCAAATAATATGAGAAACTGGTTTCTATGAAGGAAAAAGTGGCATCAGGATTGGAGGAAGACTCATTAACAACCTGCGATATGCAGATGATACAACCTTGCTTGCTGAAAGCGAAGAGGACTTAAAACATTTACTGATGAAGATCTAAGACCACAGCTTCAGTATGGGTAGCATCCCAATGTAAAGCAAATGAATATCTTCACCACTGGGCCAATAAATAACATCATGATAAATGGAAAAAGCATTGAAGT